TATATATATATATATATTAGGGTGGTCCTTAAAATGGTCATTTTTGAATTTCCTTGCTCCCAAGGGCTCAAATGCTTCCAAATTGATAAAAAACTATTTCCTCAAAGTTTTAGCTTTTAATATAGTCTTTTAGATAGAGCGCAATTCAATCAAAGTTTTGTATGGAAATAGCATGAAAAATTTTCAATGAAAAATGACACGAATTTTTACTTTTATTTGTCGCTAAGTTATACCTAAAATTTTTTCTTTTAAATTTTTGTTAATATTAAGAGCTGAAACTTTCAGTGAATTGTTTTTTATCAAATATGTGTTATACATATAAAAAAATGCGATTCTGTTACATCTAGTTATTAAAATAACTGTTTAGCACCATTAGATGCATCATCGAGAGAAATATCCCATTCATCATCGCAATCTATATACTTACATGCATATAAGCATTTAACTTTCAGTAATTATATACACACAACCTCCAAAACGCACAATTGTCAAATAACAATTTCATTGCAAAGACATCTTTTTGATGTTACTTTGATAACATTAGTATGAAGTAAGATTTTATGAAAATATTAGATTTTTGACAGTTCGTTGTACGAAGATAGATCTGTGGAAATTAGAAGAGGCCATGAGTTTTTCATAGAAACAATTATTATGTCATGACATTTTTTATAGTTTTGAAATCATAATTTTAATACATTTTTTTATAAAACATAGAAATATATTTTACTTATTTACATATTTCTATAGATCCTCAATCTAGCGTTATTATAACATTTCTATTTTATTCGAGCATTAGACTTGATTTTTCTTAAATTGAATTAATTAATTGATTGTTGAAGTTGACGTTTCGAGACTGTGGTTTGTGCCATCACCGTCAGAGTAAGTTTAAATTTTATCATATGAAATCATACAAAATTATAGTTAATCGACACCTAACAGAATATTTTATTACTTATTTCTTTTACTAGTACTTATTTATTTTTGACATATAAAAGTATATAAGTATATTCAGAATGTTTTTTTATTTTGCATGACTATCTTTTGTCTAATTTATTTACATATGCGTCAGTAAGATCTTATTTTTGATACAAGATAATAATTTGCGTGATTTGTGCATCTTGCAGATAAATTATTCGCGATAATTTGATAAAATATTGATTTTAATTCATTTAGATAGTAGAATGCATTTTAGGAAAATTATTAATATATGTATATATATATATATATACGTGTATATATATATATATATATATATATATATATATATATATATGCATAATTTCTTGGAGGGCGTAACATCAAGTAAAAAATATAAATAAGTGAAGATTTTTTTAAAACATCTTTATTTTTCCATACGTTTCGACGTAAAATTCTACGTCATCGTCAGAGGTTTTGAAATTCTTAGAATATCACTTACACATATCAATACATCTTGTAAAAAATTAGTAAATAGAAAACAAGCACCAAATGTCAGTAATTTCTTTTTTATAAAGAATAAAAAATAAAAAATAATTAACAAATAGTATATTATTTGTAAGCACTCGTGCTTCGAGGCAGGCTAGAACTGAGCTGAATAGTATGAGAGTTTTTTAAAAATTTATTTAAAATTCATACATTTCGGCTAACATCTTAGCCTTCATTCAGTGGCAATCAATTTAATTATAAAAATTAAAACTAAATAAATAATATGTAAGAAATTTCATACAAAAACAATAACAATAATAATAATAATAAAGCACTTACAATTTTGTATTCTAATATAATATATGAAACCATTATTAATCCATGGTATTAGTATGTGCACATTGAAAAAATTTATATTTTTCAACATCACAAATGGTAAAACACACAAATATACAAGTTGTCGAAACTATGCATTTACTCCTCGGAGTTTAAGATAGAAATGTCACATTTTTTCTTAAAGCACTTTTTAGCATGTGTTCAAATTTTACGGGAAATTTCAAAGGCGATGGGATCTTGTCATTTTTTAAGAAATTTCGACACGCTTTTAAGGAACCACGTGTTTGTTTCGTTCAGGGTCGTATTGTCGAAGCGTTTGTTTATGACCCTGTCGTTATGCATTTGCAAAAACAACCCCTCAGCGAATCTTCTTTTAATTACGTTCTCTTCAAAATGTAAAATTTTAGGATTGAAAAAATCTATATTATGGCTTAAATTATTAATATGCTCGGTTAACATGGTTTTGAATTGTTTAGGATTTTTTGAGTTATTTTTATGTTGATGAAGGCGTTTACTCAGGTTTTGGCTAGTTTCTCCGATATAAAAAAGTTCGCAATTAGAGCAAATAGTCCTAATATATATATATATATATATATATATATATATATATATATATATATATGTATATATCCGTTATTATTTTTATTAAATTACTTTTGTTTTCCGAAAACAATCCAATTACAGTTTTCAGTTATATGACATTGCAGAAGTTCCGGTACCGATGTTATTATATCCGAGTGTCACTCCCGGAAAAGTTTTCCGGGTTTGCAAAACTAGAAAAGTTATGTAAGTTATGTCGCTTATTTGACATTGATGAGGGGGCGATATTAATAAAACAGTTGTTTTTAAGTTTCCGAAGGGGAAGTTTATGGTTTTGCCGGAATATTCATAAGACTCCAATAACGTGTATGTATATATTATAATATACTGAACTATGTGTATTATGTAGGGAAAACACAATTACGTTTACAATGCGAATTCCAGATCATCCCCCACGCCCTAAGGTTTTGTGTAAGACATTTTAAAAAGCTTTTTTGTCATCAAATTCTCGTATGTGAGTCCCCCCTTATATCTGCCATTCATTCATCGATATAATATATATATATATATATATATATATATATATATATACATTATATTTGCTTATATCATGTTTCAAGTGTGGGTGTGCGTGTACATGCCAATTTAAAGTGATTGCTTTTTGATAGAAAATTTTTTGCAAAGAAATGCTTTCAACGTAAGAAGATGAGGTGAAATCATTTTGCCAATATATATATATATATATATATATATATATATATATATTAGGGTGGTCCTTAAAATGGTTATTTTCGAATTTCCTTGCTCCCAGGGGCTAAAATGGTTCCAAATTGATAAAAAACAATTCTCTGAAAGTTTTAGCTCTCAATATTAACGTTTAGATAGAGCGCAATTCAATCAAAGTTTTATATGGAAATAGCATGGAAAAATTTTCAAAAAATTTGAAAATGTTATTTAGATGTAATTTAGCGAACAAATGAATGAATAAAACTCATTCATTTGTTGCTAAGTTATACCTAAAACATTTTTTTTAAATTTTCAAAATTTTTTCCATGCTCTCTCCATACAAACTTTGATTGAATTGCGCTCTATTTAAACATTAATATTAAGAGCTAAAACTTTCAGAGAATTGTTTTTTATCTATTTGGAACCATTTGAGCCCCTGGGAGCAAGGAAATTCAAAAATGACCATTTTAAGGACCACCCTAATATATATATATATATATATATATATATATATATATATATTAGATTTATGATAAGTAGACAATTGGTCGAATTAAAAAGAGTGAATTAATTTTCATTCCTTATTTGAACGTTTCCATACTTGATGAACTAACTTGCATACAATACATAGGGCTGTGTTCAATCTGGTTTTATTCAAAATTTTCGTATCGGAGTATAAAAAAGTGTTTACATATAATCGTACTTAACTTTATTTAGTTTCTGCTAAGAAAACTTAAAAAGAGTACCTTGAACAAAGTTGTCTAGATATTTAATAAAAAGTCAAAAAAATGCCCCAAGTCAATTATGTATAAATATATAAGTGCTGGTTCAAACTTTTGGAGATTTTTATTTTTAAAAAATGTATCGGAATGTATGAGACAATTTATATGAAATCTTAGTAAATTTTATCTAGTTTCTGCTAAGACTAAAAAAGAGTGTCCTGATAGAAGTTTTCAAGTTATTCAAAAAAGCGTAGAAAAATGTCCTGCATCCATATATATGGTTCTCACTTGCATACAATACATAAGGCTATTTTCAACTTAGTTTTATTCAAAAATTTTGTACAGGAGTATAAAAAAGTGTTTACATGGAATTGTACTAAATTTTATCTACTTTCTCCTAAACTAATTCGAAAAGAGTGTCCTGATAAAAGATTTTAAGTTATTTAAAAAAACGTTGAAGAATGTCCTGCATCTACATCTACAACTACTACAATAGACAAAACTAATTTCGCAAAACTGATAACTCGTTAAACCAAAATATCAGTAATTTATTTTAATATTGACTTTTTGACTACACGCCAATAGGCAAAAAATTCACAAAACCACATTCATCTCACCATTAAATTAGCGTTAGATCTGCTCAAACCTTTACCACCAAAGCGTCTCAAAAAAGAATCTGCAATGATTTACTACAAAATATCACATAACAACTAAGAAGGTACTACCGCTGGATAATATATATATATACAGATAATATATATAATTAGAATAATAGATAATATATATAAATAATATATACCTCTATTAAAATATAGCTGAATGTACTTTGTATAGTTTGCTATGATAAATAAATAAAAAAAAACAAAAATCTTACCATTGATCATCTATCTTTTTCCCCAGGTGTTCCTGCGGTGCGACCTACATCGCCCACACCCTCTGCCACCAATTCTCTGCAATAACAGCGGCTGCCACAAACGAGAAGCTTCTGGCCCAAGAAAAATTGGCCAGCGAACGTCTGGCCAATGGAAAAATCGGAGGCCAAGGAGACAAATATGAAAAACCGCCTGCGGAACCATGGACACCTGCCAACACACTACACAGCCGTCTCCGACGGACGCCTATGGGACCATCGAGTTTCAGGGGGGGCCACATCCTACCAAAGCACAGGTAATAAGGGAAATATATATATATACGTGTATATATATATATATATATATAAATATATATATATATATATATATATATATATATATGTATATATATAATATAATAGATGACCCGACAGACGTTGTCCTGTACCCACATCTACATTTTTGTATTATCCTATACTAATATTTACCGTTCAGTTGAAAATAATAATTGTTGTTTCTCGAATTACTATTTGCCCAAATATGAGTGATGTTAAATGTAGAACTGCTTCAAATAAAATTATGATTCTCAATTCCCACAGTTAACACTTTAATTATCCATTTAAAAAATATTAAAATATGTTCAATAAAATTGTATATTAAAATTTATACACTGCAATTAATAGAACAAATGTATTTCCAATAGCTCAATTTATTTTAATGCCAAGGGTTATACAATTTTTCAGTCATACCTGTAGATGTGGATGTATAAATGAATGATTTTTTGTTTATTCACGACTAAAACATTGATTTTCCAAATTTATCACACAAAAAATCATCGCCTGCCTAAGTGATTTATAGCATAAGATATACGTATTGGAAATTGAAGTCTTTTACAAGGTATAACATATTCAGAAAGAATTAATATATAGCATTCGCGGTAAAGGTACAATATCACCTTGAATGTTTCTACCCAAAAATGCTTCAAAAATGTTGCCTATAATTTTTATAATTTCGTACCATATTTTAACTGGCTTTTAGTAATTTTAATATCTAAATTACATTTTTCCCACGAATAATTCAATATACATTATTACTTAAGTTCATATTTGAAGTGAATTATTTTGTCAAATCCTGTTCACATGTGCTCTATTCAACGCACGATCAACAAAATTATTGCAGTAAATGGAGAGGAAAAAAGCGTGTGCTCTGCGAATTTTTTTACTATGCTCCAATTTGCTTGATATTTTGGAAATAGGCTAATCTTAATCTTAAGTTCAGAAGTGAAAACAATTTGCACTCTTTCACCACCCCAGGCATTAATTGGATTATAATTCTTTTAATTCTGATTTTATCAGAACTTGTAATATTCTATTTTAATGCTAATTAAATGACCTACAACTTTCTCAATCATAAATTTAACCGTAACTTCTCTTATTTTGAAATGGCAAAGGATTGAGGGACTGGAAAAAGACACTCTGGTTGGACACTCTATCAATATTTGTGTGTCAAAAAAATAATAAAAAGCAATAATTAGTCAGAAAAAACCTTGAATTTCAGAGATATAATGATGAGAAATTGGTTGTTTTTTTAATGGATTCTTTTCATGAAATTATGAGTTTTTTGAAAATCGTTTGTACTAAAGTTATGGTATTTTCTAGAATCCATCAAGATCTCTTACACCAAGTTAATTCTAGATGGAATACGATTATTTTTAATTTTGGTGTAAATGGCACTCATAAACTATTTGATTCAAATAAAAAAAACATTGTATGCGTCTTTTATTTGCATGATAGCTCACTCATTTTACATGCAGGAATACTTATTTTAAAGCTTATTTTGAGGACTATAAAACCCCATTTTTATATCTAGCTTAATATTGTTCCTAGAACACTATAAAACAGTGATTTATTAAAATATTAATATATATAATTCTGGTTATTTCATTATTGTTAAAATGTATATTTCTGAAGATATTAGCAAACAACACTTTTAATTTTTCTTTATCATTCACTTAAAAAATAATAATCTGTCAAATTTAATTTTAATATAGGTTATGTAATTACATTAAACTGACATTTCACAAACGTGAGACGCATGCGCAGAACTGCATCACTTGTCAGACGCATGTTGACTCTATTTTTATTATATTATTTTAATTTTTGGCACATCTCAGCTGCTTTTTAGCAATAATAATGTAGACATTACATTTTTCTCATTCATAATCCTAACTATATTATATTTTAATATTGCCTTAGCCTATGAGTGAATAGAAATGTTTGGCAAATGACAGTCTTCACTTGTTTTTAATGTCAAACAATGCTTCAAATATTTTTAAGTACAAACAATGATGAGCGGTTTTTTGCAATTCTTTCCATTTATTTCTGCAACCTAACTATATTTCTATGAATCTAAAAATTCTAGAAAATTTCCAGAACAAACTTCAGGAAGATTCATAAAAATCCGAATTATAGTTTAGGAGGATTAATAATTCGTACATAGTTACAGAAGAATTTTATATATAAGATATATCCAGGTACACATTGGTTAATCTTGGGTTTTTTGCAGTATGTCCGTATGGCCTATGATACAAGACCAGATTTGATAGTGCAGTTGTTCACCAGAGAATGGGGTTTGGAGTTACCAAAATTATTGATAACAGTTCAAGGAGGCAAAGCCAATTTCGAGTTACAACCTAAATTAAAAAAGGTTTTGCGGAAAGGTTTGCTGAAGGCTGCCAAAACTACAGGAGCATGGGTGTTTACTGGAGGAACCAATACTGGTAACTTATTAAATAATTATAAACACCTACAGTTTATCATTAACTCTTTTTCTTCCCAGGTGTTACCAGACAAGTAGGAGACGCCCTTCTCCTAGAATCCCAAAGAGCTGGTCGTGTGGTCAGTATAGGAATAGCTCCTTGGGGTATTGTTGAAAATAACCAGGAGCTGGTGGGACACAACAGGGACGTCCCATACCACAGTATAGCTTCACCTAGATCTAAATTTGCGGTTTTGAACAGCCGACATGCATATTTTTTGCTGGTTGATAATGGCACCAATGGAAATTATGGGGGCGGAAATTATTTTGAGGAGGAAACTTGAGAAGTACATATCGAAGCAGAAGTTGCACCCTTGTAAGTAGTAAATGATATAGTGGTAAAAGACAATGCTGTATATATATATATATATATATATATCAGGGTGGTCCTTAATATGGACATTTTCGAAATTCTTTGCTCCCAAGGGCACAAATGCTTTCAAAGTGATAAAAGAAAATTCTGTAAAAGTTTTAGCTCTTAACATTAACATTTAGATAGTCCGCAGCTCAATTACAAGTTTCGTATATATTTTTTTTAACATAAGTAAATTATTGCGCCATCTGTGATAGCAGACTTGTAATTTTGAAGGCAATTTATTACTGATAATTTGAGTGTCAATAGTTAATTAAATAAATATCGATTTAATTACAGGTCAAGTGATTTATAAATATTTTCAAGTGCCATAATGAAGTTCACAAATGCTATCACAGATGACGTTAGAATTTATGTTAATAATAAATATACGAAACTTTTAATTGAATTGCGGACTATCTAAATGTTAATATTAGGAGCTAAAACTTTTAGAGTATTTTTTTATATTAATGTGGAAGCATTTGAGACTTTGGGAGCGAAGAAATTTGAAAATGTCTATATTAAGGACCACCCTGATATTTTGTGATTTTGAATTTGATGTTGACATATGTATTAACAAAGTCTAGTAATCCACTCAAAATGAAAATAGGTACTATAATAAAGTTAACTGACCACGCAATACTTCTAACAGATAACTTCTATCCCTTAAAACTTATAAATTCCGTAACTAGTAACAGACGAACCTACCTTTTGAATAAAATGGACAATTCCACAGTACATAACGATTTACCTGACTCAGAAACTCATTCTGGTGTAATATGTTTGCCATACATTAAAAAAAATTGTATGTTCATTGGAAAAAATCTTTTTTATAAATCTGGACTCCGACTTTTAAACAATTTTAGTACCACAACTAGTACTATTTGTACCAAAACAAAAACCCTTTTTAATATCGAACGACTTAGAAATCTCGTCTATCAAATAAATTGTCTAGATTGTAATTTAATTTACATAGGAGCAATAAGCAAGAACTTAATGAAACGTTTACAACAACATAAAAACAATTTAAAAAATCCGAGGCAATTTAAAACCATGATTGCGGAGCATATTTATACTTTAAAACACAATATGGACTTTTATAACCCGACTGTACTACAATTCGAACAAAATTTATTCAAACGAAGAATTATAGAGGGATCTTTTTTAACTATTTACAGCAATAAAACAATAAATAAAAGGAATGAAATTAACAAGCTGTGCGACACAAATCTTTTTTATTTAGATAGTATTTCCGAATTTCTCACAAAACAATTCGTTCCACACATGTGTAGAATCTTGGTAAAAAATATTTTTTAAAAAGTCTCTTTTCCATTATATCTTCAACCAGTCTACGAACAACACGGATTTTTTAAATTTAAATTAGTATTTTGTGAAAATATTGTGTAATTACAATTTTAATGTTTATAATACATAGTGTAGTGCATTATCATATCCTGATACCATGGTTTATTAAAATCTTCCAATTTAACACTAAGATTAACTAATTGCAAGTACTATTTCCTTTTTTTATTTTCTCTTTTCACTCCAATTCAATTGTTTTAGTTTTTAATTTTATTTTTAGTTTCCACTGAATTAAGGCTAAATTTTTGAAAGAAATTCATGTTTTTATTGATGTTACGCCCGATTACTAGACTTTGTTTATATATATATATATATATATATATATATATATATATATATATATATATACCCTAAATCCTTTCCCCCAGTCTTAATTCTTAATAAACCTTTCGACTTACGACCCAAAAAGGGTATTAACTTCATCATAAGAAATATGAAACAGATTGACAACGTCAAAGTCGCCATCATCTGCTTTTTCCACATTAATTCCTTTAATAAATAATAAATAAAGCTACTTATGTCCATCTTGAGGATTTATTTATATTTTGCGAACTGAAGAGATTTTCGGCTAGAAGAATTGACCTTTTTCAACCACAAAGGGATTTTACAGTGTTGCAAAAAAGGGAGCCGAAAATTAAATTATATTAAAAAATATGATTAAAAAATAATATGCATCGAGGATAAAAAGTTTTATGAATACATCGAGTTGCTTCAGGTTGTTTTTATTAATGTTTTTTTTTTACTTTGTATACAAGTACATTAGTCATATACATTTTATAAATCAATTTTGCAATTTAATTTTCAGGATATTAGACTATGTTGTTGTAGATTATTTAATTTTGTACAAATTTGCCAAATATTTTGTTAAATAAATTAGCAATATTTTCATTACTATTTGTGACTTACGGACGATGTTGTCTATTTGTTACAATGTGATTACATTTTTTAAACTCGGAACAAACTTTTCATAAGTCAATAAACAAAATCTTGTGATTTTTTACGATTAATAAAAGTCGAGTTGTTTACTAAGAAAGCGTCGAGAGCTTGATCGTAAAATAGTTAATGCTTTTTTGTACATTTATATATATATATATATATATATATATATATATATATATGTATATATGTATGTATATATTTGTGCAAACAGGGAGGCCACAAGTTTAATCTGTGTCACAATTCCCGAGCTAATATTTGCAAAAGCAGATTGAAACATGCTTCTTAAATATATGAAAAGTGTTATTCATATATATATATATATATATATATATATATATATATATATATATGTATATATATGTATATATATATATATGTATATATATGTATATATATATATATATATATGTATATGTATAACAAATGTATTTTGAGTGGATAATAGATATTAATTTGGAAATATGAACAAACAACACTCTAAATCTACTCTAAATTAGTGCAAAAAAGAGTGTTGTTTGTTCATATTTCCAAATTAATATATATATATATATATATATATATATATCATTTTCCTACTTGTTTGTTCATTAATTATCTCGTTGCTTTTTATATCCTTGTTTTTACTTGTGCGTTCATTATTTTATTTAATTGTTTATCCATCAACTTGTTTACGTATTTAATTACTTGTATTTTTTATTTGTTCATTAATTTACGTTTCGTTATTTTATTTTTTGAGTTATGTATTTGTTTGTTTATTTATTTATTTATTTTTTCTAAATTCTGGGAGTTTTTATTTTCAATTTTAATTTTCTTTACTTTAATTTTTTATAATACGAAATTGAAAAATATATAGAACTTTTTTCACCTCGATTTGATTTTTATTAAGACAGGTCCAACCCTCACTTTTTTTTTTTGATTTTGGAATCATTTGGAATTTTAATTTTCATAATGCGGAATTAAAAAATGTATACAACTCTAAATTTTTACAAGTCGCTATTTCATAAGTCATTTTAGTAATCGAATAATTTTTCACAGGGCTTTCAGTCAATGAGTATTTTTTGCTAAATTTCAAGTCTGTAGCGTGCATATTATTTAAATAACATTATATATGTCAGTTTTAGTTTTTCATTTGTAACGCATTTAATTAAAAGATACAGAAATTTTGACCTGGGTTCGCCGGCATTTCTGATATTGGATTTGAACGTTACAGGTGGATTAATTAATAAAACAACTTAGTCCTGCTAAGCTGTTTTAGATAACTTAATCAACCGTACGAGATAGGGAGTTGTATTTTATTGTCCATTTAGTGTAATAAGTGACTTTTGTTAGTGTCTGTGCGAATCCAAAAAAAATTATAGAGATAATACATGTTTTATAACTTATAGTGGTTTTCTTTATTGCATAACTGGTGCGAAAGTGAGAATTTAATAAATTATAAAATCTAGTGTTATAGTCATATTTTCCTGACCATATGCATGATGCATATGCATGATAAAGCATGAATTTTACTAATAAAATAGAATTTATTTCTATCAAGGGTTGTCTACACCTTCCATTTTCACAAACAGTACGTTATTAAAACTTTGAATGTGCCAGTTCTTTTTAAATAGAATCATTTTCATATTAGGTTGGCCCTTGCAAACACTATTAGAGACCCAGGAACATTTATATGTGTCATGCTTTGCAGTGGGTAAACTATTCATATTTATTATGTTTTTCTTCCAGATACCCATTCGTCGACTCCGGTGGTCTGTCTGGTCATCGAAGGGGGTACCAATACGATCAGGGCCGTACTCGAGTATGTCACGGATGATCCTCCGGTTCCGGTAGTCGTCTGCGACGGCTCCGGAAGAGCTGCCGATCTCATCGCTTTCGTTCACAAGTAAAAAAATAATAATACATAGTAACACACAATTATTTTAGACAAAAGACCAGTCTGAGATGCATAAAGGCATTTCCTTCGCTATACAAAAAAATTTTTTTTTTGTAATAACATTTGACTTCTTATTATTATAGATATGCTGCAGAATCCGGAGAGCAAACAGTTTTAGAATCCATGAAGGATTATCTGATCTCAACAATTCAAAGGACTTTTGAAGTCGCTTACGATCCTGCAGAGTGTCTTTATTATGAATTGCTGCAGTGCACGAAGAGGAAAAATTTGGTAATAATATTTTAAAATTATTGATATAAAACTTCTTTAGGGGCGACTAGGGTGTGAATCCTAGGTGTTACGACAGATAAGATAAGAGTCAAGTGCCAATGATTCGTCATTCGCTCTCGATGATATCATTTCTATACGGGTCGATTGTGATTAGTTGTCGTCGTGTATGTGAATAGAGATCTGTCGTTGTATAACAAGGAAATCGACATTGATAGATAAATAAACATTTTAAAGTTACATCGTAGTACAAAAATGTTGGTTTAATAAAAAATGCCTGAATCAGAAGAATATTTTACCCTGTTCCTTGAAAATAATAAAATAAATTATAAATCTGTGCCGTGTACTAAACATAAGTTTATTGATTACAAATTATTTCTATATTATTCGTTAGTAGTTTCTAAAAATCTTCGAAGTCCCTTTCAATTTTCTATGTTGTTTTTCAAGTTGCTCGTCAGTAGAGTTCTATCTCAAAATGCCATTAAAATTGCCTATCAGAAGAGTCCTTTTTGTCTTCGAATTGTTTTTTAAGTTGCTCATCAGTATAGTTCCTTTTCATGATTTTGAGAACCAATTTGTTCGTCAGTAGAGTCCTTTCTTATCTTATAAATCGTTTTTCAATTTGCCCGCCAGTAGTGTTCTTTTTTATGAGTTTAAAAATTAATTATATCGTCAGTAGAGTCCCTTTTTTATCACCTAAGTTGGTTTTAAATCTGCTCGTCAGTAAAGTCCTTTTCCATGTCTTTTAAAAAGCAATTTGCTCGTCAGTAGAGTCCCTTTTAATATTCCAAATTGTTTTTTAATTTGCTCGTCAGTAAAGTCCTTTTATTCTCCCCATATCATTTATTTCAGTTTGCATGTCAGTAGAGTCCTTTTTTTTCTCTATGCATTCTGACGTTTGCGTTTTTTTTCTCGTGCCTTTAATTTAAGTTTGCTCGTCAGTAGAGTCCTTTTCTCGTATTCTAGGTAGCTTTTTATTTGCTCGTCAGTAGAGTCCTTTTTTATTTTCATATATTGCAAAATACGTTTCCTCGCTTTTTTCTTATGAGAGCAAAAGCTACGAAATTATTAAAAAGACTCTACTGACGAGCTAAAGATAAAATATATAAAAAGGGACTCTACTGACGAGCAAATTAATCTAGAATTAAAAACAGGACTCCACTAACGAGCAAACATAATTTTAATCCAGAACATAAAAATGGACTTTACTGACAAGCAAACTTTAATTACAATCGAGTTAATCGAAAGGGACTCTACTGATGACTAAATTTAAAATTAGTAAATATAAAAAACTGAAAAAGATTTCCACTAACTGATATAGATATAAAGGATATAGAAAGGAAACATAAAAAAGGATTCTACTGACGAGGAAACTTTAGTTTTGATCCAAAAGATTCAAAAGGACTTTACTGACATCATAAATTTTATCTTAAAGTTAAAAAGAAATTCTACTGACAAGCCGACAAAGTTTTGATCGATAAGATAATACAAAAGGGACTCTACTGACGATCAAACTTGAAACTAGCAAATATAAAAAGGACTCTACTGGCAGGCAAATTAAAAGTTGACAAAAAAGATCGAAGCAAACTTTAATTTGAACTTAGAAGAACAAAAAGGACTCTACTGGTAAGCAAATTTAATTTAAAAACTAAACGGGACTGTACTGATAAGCAAATTTAATTTAGATACTAAAAGGGACTGTACTGATAGGCAAAAATATTAATGAAAAATGTTTCATGAAATGGACTCTACTGACGAGCAAATTTTAATTTCAATCTAGAAGAGAAGAAAGGGACTCTACTGACGATCAAACTATGAATAGAAAATATGAATGCTTCTAAAAAGAACTCTACTGACGAGCAAATTCATTTTTAATATAAAATATTTAAAAATGGGCTTTACTGGCGACCAAATTTGAAATTCGTAAATAAAAAAAAAAGACTCTACTGTCGAGCAAACTGAAAATTGACAAATAAGACAAAAGGGGACTCTAGTGACAAACGAATAATAAATGAACAATATAATAGAGAAGGGACTCTACTGACAAGTGATCTAATAACTTGATAAAAATGCACAAAATTAATCTAAAGGACAAAAAAGGGACCTTACTAACGAGCAAAATTATTAATATTAAATGTTTTGAAAAAGGGACTCTACTAACGACCAAACTAAAAATGAAAAAAGGAGAGGGACTCTACTGACGAGCAAAATAAAAATAAAATTCAAAGAGACTATGCTGATGATTAAATTAAAAATTAAAGAAAAGTGGACTCTACTGACGAGCAATCTAAAAATAACATTAAAAAGGGACTCTACTGACGAGCAAAACTAAAAATAAAATCAAAAATGGACTTATAGTTTCCATAAATCTTTGAAGTTATTAAAATGGAAAGTAGTTTTTAAGGCAAGACAGATATAACAGCTGTTCAAAGAATGAGACTGTATCGCCAGCGAAAAAGTAAAAAAAATACAAACAGTCAATGAATGTATGTTAATTTTAATTACATGAAGTTCTTCAAACACAAATATTATATGATGATGAGTGAAATTGTGAAAACAATATTTGTTTAGGCGTTGTTCAACATAATCCACTGTGTGAATGAATATTATAAAAATTATTAATCAGCAATTACTTCATTTCTCATTTTTAAATGCTAATTACAATGACAAACCGATCATGTCGTATTTGAAGTATGACTTTAATTACATTATTGTTTTTGAAATATTATACATATTTTTAATGCTATTATAAATATATAAATTATAATTTATCATTATATAAATGTGTATAATGGTCGAAACCAATAAATGTGTGGATCGCGAGTGTTACCATATTACTAATAAACAACTTGTTTTATGACGTATTTATTTTTACTTAAATACTATCTTGTAAAGTAGTAAATAAGTTTCCCTTCAATCGCGTGTGAACCTTACGCGCACTCTTTTTAATTTAGTAGTAATAATATGTATTTTTCCCAGATCACAATATTTAGGATACAAGAAGGACGAACTCAGGAACTCGATCAAACAATCTTGACGGGTTTGTTCAAATCTCAACACTTATCACCATCCGAACAATTATCTTTGGCATTGACGTGGAACCGTGTCGACATTGCACGATCGGAAATTTTTGTTTATGGACAAGAATGGCCACCAGGTAATAAATAATAAGAATAATTCATTAGTTTATATCTCATTATTATTTTTTATCTAGGTGCTTTAGATGAAGCGATGATGCAGGCTTTGGAACACGACAGAATCGATTTTGTGAAACTGCTTTTGGAAAATGGTGTGTCGATGAAGAAGTTTTTAACTATACCGCGATTGGAAGAATTGTACAATACTAAACAGGTAATATATGTAAACCTGTATGTCATGGTCATGAAAATTATTTTTGTTTTATTTTCAGGGTCCAAGTAATACCTTAGGCTATATTTTAAGGGACGTAAGACCTCATATACCTCGCGGCTATATGTACACTTTGCACGATATTGGTCTGGTTATTAATAAATTGATGGGAGGTGCTTACAGGTAATAATAATAGACTTAATATATATATATATATATATATATATATATATATATATATATCTTTTATTTTAAACCTTATCAGATCAATCCTTACAAAGAAAAAAAATCAATTGACCTCAGAAAATTTGCAAAATTTATTTTCATCATTGAAAAATCTTTGTCATAAAATATTGAACAAAATATTTATGCTTTTAATATTTCTATATACATCAAGTTATAATGTCTATATTGTTATTCGTTTAATGACTCTTGTACACTATATATATATATATATTATTTTTCTAAGGACGAGCGATTGTAGGGCTGTGGATGCCCAGTGGTTTGTCGACGAATATGAACGATTATAAATCAATTTATAACCGCTATATTGTTATTCCTTTAATGACTAATTATATACACTATGTACAATATTTTTCCAAAGACAAGCGAGTGTAGGGTTGTGGATGTCCAGTGGTCAAGGTCATTTCTGGACTATCTAGCACATTTCTGGACTAACTAGAACATTTTTGGACTATCTAGAACATTTTTAGACAATCTAGAACGTTTTTAGATTATCTAATTTTTTTCAGTTCATATAGAACATTTTCAGACTACCATTTTTGGACTATTCAGAACATTTCTAGACTATCCCGAACATTTTTGGATTATCTAGAACATTTTTGGATTATCTAGAACATTTTTCGACTATCTAGAACATTTTTGAACAATCCAGGATATTTTCAGACTATGTAGAAAATTAGACTTATTATATTCACTATGTATAATATTTTTTTAAAGACGAACGATTGTAGGGTTGTGGATGTCCAGTGGTCAGAGTAAAATTCTCATAAATTTAGTTAAGGAATATATATATATATATATATATATATATATATATAATTACACAGAGAATTATTGTAAATGTTATTAGCTATTTAACGCCATTTATCGTTTATTAAGATTTTTTGAAAAAAAATCTGTAGAAAATTAGACTTATTATATTCACTATGTATAATATTTTTTTAAAGACGAACGATTGTAGGGTTGTGGATGTCCAGTGGTCAGAGTAAAATTCTTATAAATTTTGTTAAGGAATGTATATATCATTATACAGATAATTATTGTAAACGTTATTAGCTATTTAACGTCATTTATCATTTATTAAGCTTTTTTGAAAAAATTTCTGTATAAAGTAATTTTGTCAAAAAAGTGCATGCACTGAACTTATTCATTGATGGAATACTGGGTAAAATCCAGTGAAATGAATATCTTCATTTTTGATGCTGAAATTCTCGTAAATATTGGCAAGATATGTATATATTATTATATACAAATTTGAAGTAAATTTTATTGTGTATTTAACGCTTATAATTACTTTGTATAAAGAATATAATAATATTTGTCATAAAATGAACAAAATATTTATGCATTTAAAATTTCTATATACATCAATTTATAATCGCTATATTGTTATTCGTTTAATGACTCTTGTACACTATATATATATATATTATTCTAAGGACGAGCGATTGTAGGGCTGTGGTTGCCCAGTGGTCTGTGTCGACGAATATGAACCAATATAAATCAATGTAAAATCTCTATATTGCTAATCGTTTAATGACTAATTATATACACTATATATATTATTTTTCTAAAGACGAGCAATTGTAGGGCTGTGAATGCCCAGTGGTCTGGGTCGGCGAATACTAGGAGTTCAAAGTATTTTACAATTTTTTTGAAGTAAAACTTCTTTAGGCGCGATATGGGTGTAAAAATTTTTAGGCGCGACACGGGTGTAAATCCGTACAAATGCAACGAAAATGCCAACGTGTAGTTGAACACTACGACGCCGTAAGCGCTGATGTCGCGAGTATCCACTCCCGTCATGTCATGCGTAAGTCGAGCGCTAAACCCTATATGAACTTGCATTAATTGAATCACGTTTTTTTTACAAAAGAAGAGGTTGCTGTATTATGTCCTCATGGAATAAGACTTTTCTTAGAGAGTAAATGTGCCATGGAATATAATAAATTTATATTGAATCTCGTTGAAGACAAAATAATATCTACTGCCACGGATATTTATGTAGGTTGCCATGCGACAGATCAACAATCATACATTCGTCAGCAGTTTCAAAAAAATCGTTTATTGATACCGGGGCTTTGCCGTATGAAATAATTTTAGTTCTGAATAAATTTTACATAATAACAACTAATATTGATGTAAGTGATGGCTTAGCTAATGGTTGTGTGGGAAAATTAGTGTACATAGAACGTGGCGATAATGATGAACTTCTACGTTTATGGTTTGAATTTCCCGGTTAGATAGGTAACAAAATTAGGAAGAAAGCTTCACATCATATTCAAACTCTTAATATCAGTAGGACAGCTGTGCCGATGCTCAGGAGATCTTATTATTATTGATGTTATATGATTATTAAAAGATGATTTTTAAAATTCAAATATGATGTTTTTTTTATTTTTATCTTAATTGCCTACTCATACAATATTAAAAGTTTTACTTCAATCGCGTGTGATCCTTACGCGCACTCTTTTTTTTTAGAGCCTATTACACTCGAAGAAAATTTCGTCCAATCTATGCAAAAGTGATGAACAAAACAAACAGCCACATAACCCACAGAAATTCAGCATCGTTTGTTAAATACTACGGAGGCGGTAATCCACTGAGTTTGCTGACGGGAATGCTACCGGTTACCACTGAAATGGCCTTGTTTGATTACCCTTTCAATGAATTACTGGTAAAAATAATAATGATAATAGACATAGCCCTAGTTTTACTTATTATACATCTTTTTTTCTTTAAGACTTGGGCAGTTTTAACCAAAAGACAACAAATGGCCCTGCTGATGTGGACTCATGGTGAGGAAGCTTTGGCGAAAGCTTTGGCGGCTTGTAAACTGTACAAGGCGATGGCTCACGAAGCAGCCGAAGATGATTTAGAGACTGAGATTTATGAGGAATTGAGGAATTACGGAAAGGAATTTGAAAATAAAGGTGAGATAAAACATAAACCCTAAACACCTTCTTCAGCAAGTTAATGAGTCCTTTACCATTTAGCCCTAGAATTGCTGGACTTCTGCTACCGCCAAGACGACGACCAAACTCAGCAACTATTGACTTGCGAATTGCAAAACTGGTCTGGACAAACTTGTTTGAGTTTAGCAGTTGCTGCCAACCATAGAGCCCTTTTGGCACATCCTTGTTCCCAAATTATTTTGGCAGATTTGTGGATGGGAGGACTTAGGACTAGAAAGAACACGAATTTAAAAGTACGTCGGATAAACTTTGACTTGTATTGTATTACTAATTAATTTTATAATTTGTTGTTGTTGGTTTCAGGTCATTCTAGGACTGTTGTGTCCTTTATACATTGTGAGGTTAGAATTCAAGTCCAAAGAAGAGTTGCAGTTGATGCCTCAAACCGAAGAGGAGCATATGGAGAATGAGAGTTTGCTTGATGAGGAGCAGATGGAGCAGGATGAGGAGAAACATGCTGATGGAGAGGTAAGGTTTAAGAAATAAAATTCTATAAGATTTTACAGGGGATTTATTTAATAAAATCACTGATTTTTCTTGCAATTACTAACAATGATAATTTTTCTACTATTGTAACTAATAACTGGCATAAATTTTAACTATAGGTAATTCTTCAGTAGCTAAACGTGATTTTAATAATGGATGTTTTGGTAAATAAATAATTATAGGGGCAATTCTGCCTAAAAATAGCGTTGTTGTTGCAACCCTATCTTATGCTTGTTTTTTGTTAGTGAAACTGGGAAAATGACCATCTGTTTGCTGTACAATCAGGCGTATTTTACATAATAACAAGCAAGGAAGAATCTTATAACAGAATTCTAGATGGTGCAGTTGTCATAAGATTCTTTCTTGCTTGTTTATATGTAAACTACGCCTGATAATAAACATTTTTACAATTTTTACTTCCAATAAACAAGCATTAGATGTCATTGCCATGACAATTATATTTTATGAAAAATGCATTTTGGTTAAATATCGTTTGCACATAGTCTAATTTATTTTTTGTACTATGGTCTAAAAAAGGTATTAAATCGATGTTAATTTATGCATTTCGTTACTAATATTTAGTACATGCAGAAAAATGAATTAATTTTGTTAAAATATAAAATTGTGCGTCTAACACCTTAATGAAGTGAAACTTCTTGAAAAACATATATCTTTCTCCCTCGCTCTCTTTCGCTCTAAGTATATGTATATTTCTTTCTCACTCTTTTGTCTCTCTCGTGTTTCAAATCAGACTTAAGAGGTTATATACAATTAATAGACCGAAAAAATTATTATTATTATATTATTATTATGCCTTAAGAAATTTTGGTTTAACAAATTCACTCATCATGTAATTTTGTTTGAAAAACTTCATGTAATTAAAATTAATACTTTTTCAAAAACCGTTAAATTTTAATTTAACATTAAGTACTTTAAAAATTTGAAAAAAATATTACGGTATTCGGATTCTACTAAAAAATACCTTTCAAATGATACCCCACATGCCATAAAAGATTTAAGCTAAGATTTTTGAAGTAAAACTTCTTTAAGCTCGTTTACTACAAATTCATTAAAAGTTGACAAATCTCATATTTAATTGCACATTTGGATTTTAGTCAAAAAGATCTTTAAAACGATACCTCACATGCCATAAAAGATATAATCTAAAGTTTTTGAAGTAAAACTTCTTTAGACTCTTAGCTACAAAGTATATATTTTGTGAACAAACCATACAGTTAACATCAGTATTCGGTTTCTATTCGAGAAGGCCTTTCAAACGATACCCAACATGCCGTATAAAATACTATCTAAAATTTTTGAAGTAAAACTTCTTAGAGCTCGTTTACTACAAATTCATTAAAAGTGTAGATTTTGTGGACAAACCACATTGTTAATTTCAGTATTCGGATTCTATTCAAAAAGACCTTTCAAATGATACCCCACATGCCATTAAAGATACAATCTAAAATGTTTGAAGTAAAACTTCTTTATGCTCCTCTGCTACAAATTCGTAAAAAGGGTATATTTAGTGTATAAATCAGTATTTATACTTATTACTTTATTAAAAAAAATCAACATTCTAATATTTTTGCAATAAAATATGGTTTTACGTTTTTATTACAATGTCGTCATATTTTTGGAGAAATTGATTTCTACTTGTCGAGACTTTTTAAACGATACCCAACAAGCGATAAAAGATACAATTTACAAATTTTGAAGTAAAACTCTTTTAGACTCCTCGACTACAAATTCGTAATAAGTGTACACTCATTGACTGCTTATTTTTTTCACCATTTCGCTGCTGATAGTCTCATTTTTTAGCACCTGTAATATGTGCCTTGTCTATATAAATAATTTCTAAAAATATATAGTAACCACGAATAATAGAATTTTTTTGAATAAACTTACGTTTCTTACACGGCACAGATTTTTCATTTGTTTTATTATTTTCTCTATAATTATTTACTGGAGACTGGATAAAATATTCTTCCGATTCTAGGACTTTAAAATCTAATGACATTCCCAACAATATGGTTCTCGTTTTCGGTGACATATTACGTAGAACGCAACAATCGAAGAACCCTCTCACGCGACACGACGACCAATCACAAGCGACCCGTATAGAAATGATATCGTCGAGAGCGAATGACTTTCACTTGACCTTGCCGTAACAATTTTCGTTGCATTTGTACAGATTTACACCTTAGTCACTCCTAAAGAAGTTTTGTTTCGAAAACGATTTTGTGAAAATCTTAAGTGTATATAACACCTTAAGTTTAACTCGTCGTCGTTTTGGTTTTGTACGAAGTTTCACTTCAATTAGGGTTAATTATTAATATAACCACATAGGGGTATGTTTTGTATATGATATTATTACAATATTTGTTGTTTTTTATTGTTTTCAATTTAAAAATTCAATTTGTAGACAAAAGGAAGAAAAAGTATACGACTCAAATGCGGACAAATTGGACAAGGCGGTCAGGTACATGCAAACAAATATTTGCAATTGTGAATTTTGTAAATATTATCTGTGAATTCATCATTCAGCTAATTTTTCTGTCTATGTCCGCACTCACTTTTTTCACAGCTACTTTGACTCGACTTAATTAAATTAATTATGTGATAAATTAATTATGTGTTCTCGAATGCACTTTTGAGTGTTGAAATGAATTTCTACGCCTATGTTCTAACTCTGTCTCTTAACACTTTTTCAGAATATTTTGGTGGGTTTTTATATGTGTTTGAAATATCTATGTATGTATATATTGCTTTGTGTTTTTGTTTAATTTGTGTTTGGGAAGATGGAAATTAAATTGCAAAAATAAACCAAGATTTCTGTTCTAAATGAACTTTGTCGTTGCAATTAGGGTTATGTCGGTTTTCAAAAACCGGTTTTTTGGCGAAAATTATGGAATTCGAAAACCGTTTTTTTGGTGAAAGAAGTCCAAATATAAAAGATAGATAAAAGCGTTTTGATTCTTGAAATCATATCGGTTCAATAGCATTTCATATCTTATCAGTCTGCAACGGTTCTCAGAAAGGTTTTGTTTATATATTAATTTTGATTTTTATACCAGTGTATATATTAATTTAAAATCAGTGTGACTTCTTCTTGAAGAAGTAACATCCTCTACTCAAACTTAAAAAAAAAGTGTTTTAAACCCTAGTAGCCACAAATTAAAGAACAAAAAACTTAGAATTATTATATCAGGCTTTAAAAACAATTAAGCATAATTTGGTCGCAAGTATGAGAAAAATTTTGTGAGTAAACAAAGGACACGTCTAAGTAGCAATTCGATAGACGTTCTCAGTTTTTTGAAATCATAGTTTATTAAACAAAAAAATCAATTAGAATGTTTAAAATTAATTAATTAAAATTGCTCGGAACAGACAATACTTGAGTTTAGCTTAATTGTTTTTAAAACTAAAATTGATATTAACAAGTATGTATCAACGTGTATCTATTTTTTTTTAATTTAAGGGGCACAACTAGTGTGAAATTTTGAAAAAATCGATTTTTGTTTTTTTTTCATATTTCGGTAGATTACACCTTTAAAAATAACATATTAAAATTTCAAATCGATATCTCAAATAGTTTTATTACAGTCATTTATTATAGTACAACGATCATTTTATCTTTAAACGCGTTTTTCTCGAAAAAGCATTTTCCGAATTTGCTGCAGTGATTACTCAAAAACGAATGATCCGATCACTATCAATTTTTTTTTGCATGTTCTGTATATAATTCTCTGTAAAATGAACTATCGATTTTTTGATCGGATCAAAATTAGAAATTTGGCAGTCGGAAAATGACCAAAATTTTGGGTAAAAATCGACTTTTTTTTAAAAAACGCCGCCAAATTTTTTATTTATTTTTTTATCGTAGTTCATTTTACAGACAATATTATCTAGTTTAACGAGAATTTTTTTTTATTTCATCCACGTAGAAGGCCGGAATCACTGCAGCAGTTAAGGGCCTTTTTCTGTCGTGCCGTTGGAGATCGACGATAACTTAAAAAATATTTAATTTTTTTCTTCAAAAATTTTACTATGTATTCTTAAAACATGTATAAATATATTGATGAAGTAGGTTTTTTAATATAAATTCCCAAAAATCACCTTTTTTTAGGCGGTTATACTGGTTGTGCCATTTTTTAATTTAAAAATGTATTCTTTTTACTTATTCGAAAACTTTCCTTTCACTGTCTAAAAAATATTTTCATTCTTATATGTGAAAATGATGCATGAATAACGAATAATTATTTTCAAAGTTATTTAATCAAGATAAACTATTATTTTTTAGTTCTACTAATTAAAATTAAAATAATTTTGTTTACTATCTATAAAATTGAACAATAAATAAATTCAGTCAAATACTGCTCTAAATTACACTAAATTTGCGGATAAATTACAAAATATTCGAGCAAAAATTTATTTTTTATATAAAATTTGAAAACCGGTTAAAACCGGTTTTTTATTAAAATTAAAAATTGAAAGCCGGTTTTCTGAAATGTCGGTTTTTGTATAAACCCTAGTTGCAGGTTATAATAATATTCTCCCATACTGAAGAAGAGACGAAGTTTTTTTTCTAATATCTGCTGGATTTCTGTTATTATTTTTTGTGTCGTTTTTGCAATTTAATTCCCAAATTCCACTTCATTTTACAATTTTTTCTTTATTACCAAGAGTCCTTTACCCTTTACCCTTTACCCTTTATTTTTTACCAGGCTCTGTTATCCGAGCAATACGACACCCGCGTCCAGAGCGACGGCAAAGTCGATCTGGCCATCAACAATGGGGCCTTGTTATCCAATCAACAGTCGCAACAGGGCCAGAATCAACAGTCGACGATGGATTCGGAGACACCCAGTAGCCCTTTGAGTTTGGCCAGGGAGTACGTCCCTTTGCAACTCGACGGATTCTTCGAACTGAAGAGACAC